CTCTTTCGGGGTAAACCGACCCTGAACCCGTTTATACGGGTTCAATGGGTATATTTTTGGTCGGGCCCACTGGCTCGGAGATTCCACGTTAAACCGGCCTTATACCACATGATGCCCTCGTGTGCGGGGGTGACTAAATATAGTCGGTCGGTCGCTCAGTCGGTCAGTCGATGTCGGACGACCGTTAGTCGCATACTAAAGTATCAGCGACACCAACTAGATTTCTCTGCGTCATTACCTATTATATCAAGTTCCTAACGTTTTGTATGTCGAACCTATTTTAGGACCGACTTAGTACAAATACAAGCCTCCACGGTGAAACCACTCCATAACATTTTCTTTAATATTCTTTTTTCAATGCGCACAAAAAGTAAAGTATTTGGTTCTACTTAAATTCAATGTAATTCTATATACCTTGTTTCCCATCTTAATGCAAATCTAGAGAAAAATAATGTCTTCAAAAATACATATTTTTGGATTGATTTTTTTCGTAGAAGGATTTTAAATTTTCAAGCAACTATTTTTTTCAGATAGCATTTTCGCATATTTTGGTAAATTCTTTGGAGATTTCAAGATTGTCACTTCGGATTTTTAAGTGAATTGTCTTAAAAAGAAAACCGTACAATATTCACATGAAGCAAATAAATAGGCTAGTAAGCTGTAATCTCAACATTTTTAAAAATCCATTTTGTCAAAGGCTTTCTTTCTTTTTTTCTTTTTTTCTTTCTTTTTTTTTTTCTTTCTTTCTTTTTTTATTTCTTTCTTTCTTTTTTTCTTTCTTTCTTTCTTTGAAATTCTCAACTTTTCCTTTTCATTCTTCCTTTTTATTTCTTTCATTCTTTGAAATTCTTTTTCTTTTTTCTTTCCCTTTATTTCTTTTTTTTCCAAAAGGCCATATTTGTCGTCTTTCTTTCTTTCTTTCTTTCTTTCTTTCTTTCTTTCTTTCTTTCTTTCAAACTTAATCTTTTTCCTTTCTTTCTTTTTTTTACTTTCTTCTTTCCGAATTTCATAGCAGAGACAGGATTAGTTATTGTGATTGCCCGAAATCCTTCTTTAATTGGCATGATCATTTCGCTGTGCCAATACTTCATGAATATGACTATTCCGTTTTAATCACGTGGAAAAGACACTACTTGGTTTTACTGAGAAAAATTAAATAAAAAATGAAGGAGAGAGAGAGAAAGAGAAAGAAAAAGGAGAAAGAGAAAGAAAAAGAGAGAAAAAGAGAGAAAGAGAGAAAGAAAGAGAGAAAGAAGAAAGAAAAAAGAAAGAGAGAAAAGAAAAGAGAAAAGAAAAAGAAAGAAAAGAGAGAAAGAAAAAGAGAGAAAGAAAAAGAAAAAAAATCAGGACTAAGATTATAAGAATAGATACTACACTTTAATTTTAACCAATAGGCCGAGAATCTTTTGCAATTTTTTTATAGCTCCATGCAGGTAGAATGTGACAAAATGTTCTTTTAATGTGGGCATCCTGACGCGTGCAGATGGGCCAAGTCCAAAAATAGTTTATTCCCCGTAACTGTCGATTGCGTTTGTATGGGCATTGCTACCTATCACCCCTCTTTAGTGCAATGAGTGAGTTAATCCTTAACTTTTTCCCTTGTCCGGAGAGATGAAATATAGTTTATCCTCCCAGGGCAGATACTACACTTTGGGGGCACACAAAAGCCGGAGAAGCGTGGGCAATCGCGATAAATGCGGCATTTTTCGGACGCACTCTATCGGAGAACGGCAAGAAGTGTTCGACAACGATTGCCTTCGTTGCATTCTACGAAACCGCCGAATTGATCGTGTACCCACGGCTACTCTACGCCGCCGCCTGAGTCTCTGTCCTCTTCCACCCGTCCTGCTCCAGCGTCGTCTCCGATGGTTCGGACACGCAGCTCGACGACCGGAGGGAGAGCTCATCCACGATGTACATCTCCCTCCTTCTCTTCCTGGCTGGCGAAAACGTGTCGGTGGGCAGCTGAGAACGTGGGCTAGCACAATCAAGGATGAACTATCGGGTCCACAAGTAGTTTGTTCTTCGACGATGGAATCGCTATTGGCTCACCATTTCGTGTGACCTGGCTCAGGATCGGCGAGCGTAGGCAGCGATGGTCCGTGATGCTATACTGGCTCGGGAGGAAGCCGTTTCAACCCGACTAGGGTGAAAACCGATACAAGTCAAGTCAAGAACAACGGCAATCGCCAAAAGTCCAGCTACCATAAATAAAATAACATAGTCTGCGAAATTATTTTTAAATTATTAAGAGAAATTTTCTTATTACAGGATTTGTCTGGTATCTTTTTAATATCGTACTTTTGCAAGCCTCTTCATTCCTGATGTTGTGTCGTATCATATTTCACAAAACGAGTATTTGATTAAAATGTTCAAAATTTCCATTTAATTTTATATTTGATGATTGATACTCTATCTATTGATGTCGACTATATCACAGTGAAAACGGTTTTTGTATGATCATCAGAACTTAAGCAATGTACAGTATGGCCAGTATCTAGATAGGTAACCACTGGCGAATACCAGGTGCTGTAAGCTTCAATGTACGTGTGATATATTCGATTCACCCCGTTTGAAGCTTTGTAAAATTTTGAATCCCTCTTTCGATACATAGACTAAGTGCATGCACTAAGAGTAAAATAGATCTTGAGGAGAGAAAACAAATTTAATGACAGTCCTTTAAGCAACAAGAGCATAAATGATAAAAAACAAAAAAAGAACAAACTAGTTTTGCAGAAAATAAACACTTTTGGGATACTGCGTAAAGGAATTTTTTTAAAGTTTCTACCATTTCGCTTTTTCATCATTCAATATAGTTCCTCTTCATCTCAATTATAAGCGCTGTACACGCAACATCATTAACGCAATTATATCTTATGAAATGTATAAAAAAAACAAAAAAACTTTCGCCTGGAGAAGAGAAACTATTTCTGTAAATTTGGAGCTGCACTGCATTGATTCCTTTAGGAAAAAACACTTTTATGCACCTTAATGCATTTTCGTTTCAACATAGTATAGAGCAACTAAGAAAAAAACGATTACCAGTTGATAGCATAAAGAAACAAGTTCATGAACATTAAAATATATTTGGACATTTTTCAGTACGAGAAAGAGCGGAAAAGAAAATGTTCACACACTATATATATATATATATATATATATATATATATATATATATATATATATAATTTATTTTAGGATATTAAAACATGTTAAAAATCGCTGCATAATAGCAATTATTTTTCGACACTACAAATGTGTCTCCTCGGGTGATTATATATATATATATATATATATATATTTCATTTAGGATATTAAAAACATGTTAAAAATCGCTGCATAATGACAATTATTTTTCGACACTACAAATGTGTCTCCTCGGGTGATGTTAAACAAGTGGCGAGCGAAAGATTAATTTAATTTTAAAAACAGAATACTTAAAACAAAAATTACCCTTGTTACCGTGATTATCGAATCGAATGTGACTTACGCTAAATTCAAATTTGCCGGAATTTTTTTTTTTCAATATAGGTCATGACTTCGATAGATCTTACGAAATAATGCAATAACCTGTATCTGCCCATAACGGTATTGTCTAGGATTTATATGCAGATAACGTCGTGCCATGAACTATATTAAAAAAAAAAACTGAAATGACGCCCTGCCCGTAACTCATAAATAATGAACTGTTCCGTTTTGACCGAGTGAAATCACGGGTAATGACATATATCAGAGACTCTACTAGGTTTCTGTGAGAAAAATGAAATAAGGAAGGAAAGAAAGAAAAAAAAACAAGAAAAAACAGGAAGATGGAAGTCTTTAATGGCTCCTGACATTAAACACCATATGTTATATCGGTGATGCGATTTGGTTTCACTAAGAAAGAGAAAGTTGGAAATAAAAAAGAAAGAAAAAAGAAAGATAAAAGTCTTCTCTTGTTAGTATCTCATAAATAATGGTTTATTCCGTTCTGACTGTGTGAAAACACAGACATGATATATCGTAGACGCTAGTTGGTTTACAGTGAAAGTAAAGAAAGAAAGAAAGAAAGAAAGAAAGAACGAAAGAAAGAGAGAAAAAAGAAAGAAAGAGAAAAAGAAAGGAAGAAAGAAAGAAATATTGAGCGGTAGATGTGTTTACTGTCACCTGCCAATACCACATAATTAATGGACTATTTCGTTTTGGGTGCTACTTTGGTATGTCATGAATCTACTTTGCTATGCGGCCTACAGTCTTTAGCATTTTTAGTTCATGTCCGTGATGTTTACTGTTAGAATCTTAATCATTTTTTGTAATATTTTAATTACATTTTCTCTATATTATATACATGTTGTTATGTTTTTCTATTTAGATATCATTCAAAATAACAATTTGTACGGTGAAGACATTTTTTCTTTGTAGATAACAGGTACCCTCTTTTGACCATGTCAAAAAACGGAAATGACACACCAGAGACGCTACTTGGTTTCAGTGAGTAAATGAAAGAAAGAAGTGTTTAATGACTGCTTCAGTGAAATGGAAAAAAGTTGTCAATTTTTTTTTCAATTGCACATCCTTACTTCATAAAATAAGGACTAGCATTCATATCTATGATTGAAGATAGAAAATATTTTTTGATATTAAGAGTTTTTTTTAAGATAATAAAAATATAATTATACAATTCTTACTAATTAACCCATAGCTGGGGGAAATAGGTTGATTCTTAGCTTTTATAAGGAGATTTGCGTGTAAGTGAATATAACGAACCCAACCAGAATTGGAACTGGGCTCTCCGGTTAAGAATTCCGTGCAATTCTACATTACACCATCTGCACATCACCTGGTATTCTTAAGCGATCACCCATCTAGTTAATGGCCAGGTAGAACGTTACTTAACTCTGGTGATATTACGGGAACGTAGTTGCCCCAATCAGTTCCTGAGTGGGGGAACTGCTACTGAAATTAATGGAGGCGTAGAATTCACGAAGGCATTGAGATCTTGCAAAAACATCCAAAGGGTTACGGCCGCATCACGTTGAAACACCGGTTCCCGTACGGTCACCGAAGTTAAGCAACATCGAGTCTGGTCAGTATCTTGATGGGTGACCGGTTGGGAATGCCACGTTTTGTCAACTTAGCTATGCGTGTGGTGTAGTGGATAATGGCTCGGAATAGTTAATCGTAGAACCGAGGTCAAATTCCCGTTGGCTTAGTTAAGCGTAAATAACTTTGGAAAAGGTATGGGATCCATCTCTTCTCTCCCCAGCTATAAGTTAATTAGTAAGACTTGTATCACTAATTGATTACTATCACCGCCTCCCCCACCAAAAAATTCCTACAATTAAAAAAAGACGTATAAGATGGGGAGGTAGCGGTTAGACATTGACAGGTTAAGATTGTAGTGATCGGGGAAAAATCCTCTTGAGAATCCGTTCCACAGAGCACTGGTTTGGTTTATTTGTTTTACGTCATATCGACATCAATGGGTTCTTTAATGTCAACATTTCGGATAGGTTCTTATGAATAGCATATGTATTCTTTGTAAGAAATCAGTTCGTAGATCAGGGTTCATTGAGATGTATTTGTAAAGAGGGTTTTTGTAGAGTCTGTTTTTAGTTTGTTTTACGGCGTATCAACCTCAATGGGTTCTTTTAATGCCGACAAGATTTTTTTGGATAGTTTTGTATGAACAGAATATGTATTCTTTGTAAAAATCATTTTGTAGGAGATAAGATTTCATTGATATATTTTTTTTAAAAAAAGGATTATTTTGTCAAGAAATCTATTTCTGGTAGTATTACATTTCCAAAAATGTATTGCTGGTAATTTTCTTCCTGAAAAATGTATTGCTGGTATTTTACTATAAAACCTCATTTTTACACTTTCATAGTGTTTCAACCCCTGTTTGGGAGTTAACTTTTTGCCCATAGCTCGGACCCTACCAAGTGATACCAACTCGGGTCAGGGTCGACTTGGGAATAACAGCAATTAAGAGGTAGCTCCATGCTCCTCAAAACCACCTGATCAGAGGTCTTGCCACCGGATGTATTTTGTTGCCATACCCAGGACGAAGGGAGTTCAAGTGGAAATGAATTTAATGATGGAATTCGGTGGGAATGTGGGTCGTTTGCTACATTATAATGTACGTTTAATGTAACCCTCTACCGCGAGTGCCGCTTGGGCCTTGTACATGTTGAACCTTACTGTAAAGGAAAACAAAAGAAAACTAACGTTAAACTTTCACAGTCATATCCTATTATATTTGTGGTGTTCCCCACTCCTTCGTTAGTTTTACCCTCCTAAATCATCACAATTAATGAATTATAAAATTTTGATCGCGTGGAGAGAGAGGAAAATGTACTACTTACTTTCAGTGAGAAAATGAAAGAAAGGAAGTAGGGAAGATAGAAGTAGAGAGAGAGAGAGAGAGAGAGAGAGAAAGAGAGAATTAGTTTAAGTTAATAATAACAGATGCTACACTCTGACCTTACTCCTATTTTCTTGTCACTCCACAGTGGCAGGATGTGACACAAAGTCAGTTTAATGTGGGGATCCCGAGCGCATACACCCGAGCAGGTCAGAAAATAGCACGGCCCTCGCAACCGTCACTTACACTGTCAGGTGTATGACTACTGATCATGCCTCCTTTATGCAATGAATGAGTTACTGCCGCGGGCAGCTGTTTCTCTAGACAGGGAGACTATCAAGGATATCTTTAGTTGCGATATCCACAGATAGACACACAGCTGAGTTGTGCTCTGTCCATAGACGAAGACAGAACTGACTGATGAAATGTAGTTTATTCGACTGAAGGCAGCTACTACACTTTGATCCCAGCCGATTGCGATCGTGATAAGAGCGCCATTTTCCAGATGCATAGCATCGATCGAGGGTGACCAAGGAGAAATAAATAACAAATAAAAGCGGGAAAAAGACACTACTTGGCTTCAGTGAGACAATGAAAAAGAAAGAAAGTAAAACGTGTTTAATAGTTGTTTCAGTGCAATGGAAAACGTTTCAAATCGATTCATCTGTACCCACTTCTCAGTATAATGAATAGCATTCATATTTATGCTTGCTATTGCCATATGATGTTAACCTCAAATATTAAAAGATGAGAAGGGGAATTATTACGGATATTTCATTGTCATGAAACTCGCCATTGGCTTACCCAAACATTAACTGAAGAATCAAAAATTTAAAATTTTCACGGGTTAAAACTAGTATAAAATAACTTTTCAATTGCATGTCTTATATTTTATGCAAGATTAAGCCAGACATTTTTTCTACATAATTAACTATATTGTCGGATGTAAGAAATAATTTGCTTCGAATCCTGAAAAGTAAATCTCTAAAAGTATTTTGACATGAAACATATAAAATGAACATAATGTATGTAATGAGATATTCAGTTATATTATACCCAATTATGCTCATTTATTGATATCATAACATACTTCCGTAATAAGAAAATACATTTTTTGTATATAGGGAAGCCAGGCTCCGTAACCTGTACTTATAATCCTTAGAAATGCGATTTATATTATAGAATATATTTCTCATTCCTGTTCGTAAAAATCCTTCTTTGATTAAACCTTGCCAACCACATTCGTCCTCTTAGATCAAATTCTATTCGTCTTCTCTTCATATCTCGAACAAATAAAACTCTTATGAGCGCTTTTTTAAAAAAATATCAAAATGCATCACTTTCAAATAAACCAATTCAATATACCTCGAGGCGAACTGCATAACGCATTTACTGCTGAATATGAAGTTTTCAATTTTGATATTTTCATTTGAAAAGAAAAAAAAAAGGCTGAAATATAAATCATATTCAATATTTTGCCACTATTTTCTTATACATGAGCTCATTAGAACAAGAATATAATTTCTCCTTTTTATCTATCTATCTATCTATCTATCGCTGGATTAATGTATCTGTGGGAAATAAATAGTAGCTCGGAGAACCGGGTTCGAATTCCAGTCGAGTTGGTTACTTTGACTTATGTGCAAATGTTCTTGCGTAAGGCGTGGATACATCTTTTCTTTACCGTCTTGCTATTTGCTAAATAGTGGGACAGCCTAGGATCTGTACCTCTCCATTATAAGCAGGGATAACTCAAAACCATAAATACCGGCTAAGGAGTGTATTGTAGAGTTCACATTAACCCTAGGACTCAGACTACGGTCGACTTCATTCTCTCTCTCGGCACCCCCATATTTACTTAGCAAGAATAATAAACTGAATAATATACTAAAAACAACCAAAATAATTAAGAGCAAACGCCAATCTAGAAACCTAAAAAACACATATTAACCTCATCTAAATTTAGTCAACACAAAATACAGGAGTCACAAAATGCAACAAAAAAGATGTGGGGTTTGTGACATCATTATAGAAGGAAACTCCTACACTTTTTGAAAACCCAAAAAAACATTCACAATAAACAAAAACTTAAACTGCAACTCCAAAAATGTAATTTATGCACTTAAATGCACAAAATGTAAGAAGTCATATATAGGCATCAGCCAACAACTGAACAACAGGGTCTCCCTACACAAAAGCAATATAAAATTGACAGACAACAGAAAACTTTTTTGTATCACAACACATTTTCAAATGTAACCAGGGTAAGTTTAATATCATGCCGATATATCAAACAGACAATTACTCGTATCTACAAATACAGGAAAAAAACTTTATAGACAAATTCAAACCCGAACTGAATAGATCCTAACCCCACACACAAAAACACACAACATGCACACAGGGTGACCCAATACAATGATCAAATCGCTCACATACATGGACGCACACTCATATACAGGAGACACGAGGAGACATATATGTGTATGTACACATACATACATTTATGTATGTATATGCGGATATTGACAACTTAAGAAGTGCGCGCGTGTGTGTGTGTGTGTGCGTGTTTGTTTGTGTGTGTGTGTGTGTGTGTGTGTGTGCTGGTTCCATGTAGCTTGGGAAATATGTGTGTATATGTGTGTGTGTACTGATTACTTGTGGTGGGATAGTGTGTATGTGCGTATGTGTATGTATGCGTGTATAGGTACAAATAAGTTTACGAATTCCTCGTAGTAAGACAATATGTATGGAGGGGAAATATACGCACGCATATATACACGCATGCTGACAGGAACACACCAAAATAGAAACAGATCCAAGAGCACATAGGGGTCACTAAAACATTAAAAGATAAAATGCCGATAACTACTCGCTGGACAAACCTTAATTGTTTTATGACCCTTCGCGCAGAACTCTTCATTGACAATTCTAGAAAGAAAATTCAGATTGCCAACACACAAACAGAGAATGTCTCATATCGAGAACATTTCACATTGAACATAAAAAAAAAAATTAATTATTTTTTAATAATATGTAGAAATCTCCACTTTTACCTGAAGACGGTCATGAGACTAGAAACACGTGTCGTAGTAAAATTATGTAAAACAAAGCATAATATTTTTTTCTAAATAAATCCACATTACAACAAAAAACGTTTGCAGCACCTCTCTTCTTTTAATATACATACTTTTTCTCTCGTTGGAACCACTACAACATATTTCTTTTATATATATATATATATATATATATATATATATATATATATATATATATATATATATATATATATAAAAGAATAGCAAGGTATATAATCCGGTGTTCTTATAGATATTTTATTTTTTACAAAATAGTGGTCAAAGTAAATTTACAGAGCATTAATATTATAAATTAATTGATTTAAAATATGTTTTTTCGCTACAGAGTTCTAACTATGTTTAAAAAATGAAACATGGTTAGAACTGTGTAGCGAAAAAACATATTTTTAAGTCAATTTATATATATATATATATATATATATATATATATATATATATAGGGGAAAATGTATGAGACAGTGGAAAAAATGCAAAAAGTTTTCGTGTGAGGCGTTTCGTACTTTAGGACTTCATCGAACTAAATTTGTTACATTGGTGTGGCTGCATATGTGCCTGAACGAGAGATGCTGGGAATTTTAAATTTTTTGTGTATAATCTAGGCCATTTCATTCAGATTGTTTTTCGTTTTGTTTCCATCACAGTTAATTTTGTTATTAGATATTCTACA